CAGTGGTTCCCTCTGAAAGCTGGATTATACTGGTTTAAACAGTATATAAAAGGCCTCCGGGTGAAACTACAGGCTTGGTGATGAGATTATCCTTCACTACACAGTTCCAGTATCCTTTTTGAGTACATTTTTTTTGTTCAGATATCATCCTGCCACGCTGTAAATACCTCATATCACAGGATTGCTGAAGAAAAACAGAAAAAAAAGCAGTAAAACTCAGAATAATGATTTTAACCTGCTGTGCAATAATTGGAAATAAACTACAGTGAGTGTGTAAAATAGCACACACCATCACTCACTTTCCCCAGCCAGGATGTCGGTGGACTCTCAGCAATTTATCACATTTCACAAGAAGCAGCAGCAAGTGATGCACAGGACTGGCAAGTAGAGCAAGTCATTTCTTCTCCCACAGGTTAGATCTCCTACTTTCACACGGAATTTATGGTCTGTTTGAACCTTTTCGTGATGAAGAAAATAACTGAAAACATCCCTCTGTGACAGTTCTGTATCCTGTCACACACTGGCTGCATCACAAGCCCTAAAAATGCCTTTGGTACCATGGAACCTATGCATACAAAACAGCACTTCAGTCTGAAGAATTAATATGCTGTCAGCTAGTCGTGTTTTTGGCAAGTGAGTGAATTTAATCCAATTACAGCAAAGGTGATGAGGTCAAGCTGACTCTCAGTAAAGAATTACCAGAAAGACTATCCTCAAAACAGAAGACACTGCAGCTTGCTAGACATGCTGTAGTGAAGTTTAGCAATGCTCAGACTTGTTATAACAAAGGTAAGTGCCAAGAAACTGCTTAGTGCCAGCAAACAGAAGAGGAAAGGGATTCAGCAAGAACACACTTTGTAAAGCACACTGTAATCCTAAGCACTTAATTGCCTTTGGCAAGAGCTGCATCCCATTGCTCTCTCAGAAGTTGTTTTATCTGCAACTTGATGCTCACAGCTACAAAGATGAATGGAGTGGGGGAGGAGAAGAAACTGGGGGAACTAGTGAAAGAACTACAGTTACCAGTTTGTCTCTGGTGAACTACCAAAGCAAAATATAAAAATTACTGCTATGTGCAAAGCCTGATCTGCATATCCAATGACTCTCATAGAAGAAAATGAAACCAACTCTCCTCCAGGCCCTTTGAATCACTTACAGAAGCAGAGAAATTTGTTGTGGAGTCACACACCTGTATTTATATTTTGCTATTTACATATGACTGGTCTCACTTTCAGTCATTCTCATTGAATCCATATAGGTCAGTGTGAATTTGAAGGTGTAGACAAAGTTTGTTTCTTTTCCCTGATTATAATGCAGCATTCACAAATATTTTACAATATGTTAATCCCAACTCATTGTTCCCACATAAATAGAAGACTCAAAAGTAAATAATGCACCAAGCCTCTTTAATTAAATAAGGAGTTTGGGGGAGGAGTTTCTGCAGACTCTTTTAAATCTTAAAGCCTGCCAACTGGATGAACAAAAGGTAGATTAGGCTCACATGATAAATCCCAGAAAACCTGAAAAGCCTTTGTTAATAAGTCACTAAGGGAATTTTTCTTTTTCCCCTAGAATTTCTGCTCACCAGAAGTGAGTTAAGATTATTCAAGCAGGTTTGGTTTCCAGCAGCATTAAATGGGTATATGCCTCATGGAGCTCTAATCTCCTCATTTCTATAGAGCTCAATTCTCCTTTCATTCCTATTAAAGCAGAACCAGTTATTCCTAGCTTTTATAGAGGGAGCAGCTGCTGAAAGTTCAGAGGCAAAAAAAGTTTATGAAATTAGTTAAGATTCCCACGAAAACTAAACTGGAATTCTAGATCAGCTTTAATAGCAACAACAGAAACAGGAATATAAATGTATTTTCATTTCACTTTGGCATTTCTTTCGTGTAGCAGGTTGCTAATGAGCCTTTTAAGTTTCCATTCATAAGTTAGTGTTCAGTAGCTTGTTCACAGAGCCAAATGACATGTTAGTCTGGCAATTAGTTTACTCTTCTGTCTGTAGAGAGACTTAATGAAAACATTATTAGAGACAGACCTTGCTGTAGCACACTCAATAGACACTGTACAATTGCTCAAAAAAGACACAGATTTCAGCAAAACCCATACTGTAAAAGACACAGATTTCAGGAAAACCCAGACAGCGAAGATGACATTTAAAGCTATGCTAAATTTAAAAAAAAAACAGAGTCCATCCTACCTGGAACCATCTGGCTTCACTAATGAATCCTTTTCAGCACTATAGATTAATCATATCTTCTCTGCATCCAGTGCTAAAATCCAAACAACATATGTAGCCCTAATGTACATCATGGACACATTCCCTTCAGTGGGATGAAGGCAGCTGTACAAAGCTTGCTAAGATGCTGTTTGATATAGTGGATGCCACAGGAAAAGTTTAAAAAATCTACTGCAACAGGCGCAGCAACGTGTTTCTAGAGCCATGAGAGAAAGAATCATCTGACCTTATATGGGAGGGTATTAAAAAAAAAAGAGTAATTAAGCATCAAGGAGAGAAGAGTGTGTTAATCAGCCAAGACAAGAAAAAATTACCTTCACTACTCCTAACTCATACCTGTGGAATAAAGTTTGGAAAAGCTATTGAGTACAGCTCCAAACACAGCAAAAGCAAACCACGGCATGTTTTATTAAGTACTTGACAAGTTTATGAATGAAAGGAGATGAGTCTGTCTGCAAAACCAGGATCACTTCCAACCTATGCTCAGACCTAAATTCAAGCTACCTAGAAGAGTCCAGCAACCACAGACTGTGGCTACCAGGTCTCCAGAGTCTAACCAGAAACTTCAGCCATCTCCTTACATGGCTCTCAAATAGAGCTTCTGAGAACATTTTCTGGATTTAGACATCCACAGCTTTAAGGCACAGCATTTGGAGCAGTTCTGAACTCTATTTATATCTGCATTTTGTTTCAGGAAGGCTCTGAAAGTAATTTGTAGCTGTTGGTTTATAGTGTTTCTAAGTACAGTGTATTTGTGTAAGGATATTGGTATGGATTTTGATTGACTGTAAAAATCGGATCATCGCCCGGAGGAAGTCCTAATGAACTTAAAGGAGGAGCCAGGGAGAACAGAGAACACGAAACAGACCAAAAACTGGTGAAAAATTATGTGTCTCTTACATTTAACCTGAGCCAATGGCAGTACATAATCCCAGCTTATTTCAGACTTTATAAATTCCTTTTCAGCATCATACAAGCAAACTAACAGAACTTTACTGAATTATTTCCTTCATTCTCCTTTGCACCATGCAACAGGGCAACTAAAGCTATGGATGCATCCTTGCAACAGCAGAGTATCTGATTGATAACTTTCTTTGCAGCAGAACTTTTAAGACTTCCCTACAAGACTAATAAAAATGGGGTCAGTGATATAAACTGGTGTGAGCCTCCTGTGTTTATATAAAATTCTAGCTGAGGTGTTTATTAAACCAGGCATTTCCTTTCTGCCCATGTCCATCTAAAAAGGTTAAAAGCCATTAATAGGTCACACACCAGCACAGGACATCCTGCCTATCATTCTAGTGGCTGGTCCTCTGGTAGCAAACATTCTCCTTCTACAACCAACAAAGTCACTCCAGGTATTTTTGGAGTTAAAACACTTGCCCTGTAGCATTCATTTGCAGAAGGCTAAGGATGGGTGTAACATCTGTGTATTATGAAAACGTGTTATCATGAGCACTTTGTTACAAACTGCAGAGCACACAGTGACCAGCTACAGAAGAATAGTATCACTTGAGGAAACAGAAAATGCTGGGTATGTGCCAGATGAAAAATAACTATTCAGCTATTAGTAAATATCATTTTGGTTTAAAAACAGAAGGCTCCTAGAATGCACTCCTAGAACCTAGTTCCAGGAACATCTCAGCAAATCTATAGTTGCACAGGAAGACACATATCATGTTCTGCAAATAATGATGCAAGTCATTAGCAGAATAAAATAAAATAAAGATGTGTGCAGGAAGTGGGGGGAGAAAGATAGTAGTTCTCTTAGGGATTTAAAATGAGAGAGAAATTACTATTTCTCTTACAGCTCCACTGACAGAAGCGGCATTCCTAGCACTCCACAAAGCATAATTTTGTAGTCTTAGTAAGGAACACACCTTCTGCAGGTCATGTAACTCCACACTCACACCCCCCCCCCCCCCCCCCC